ATAGACAATTATTAATTTTAAATGATATTTAGAAAGTGGTTTTTTTTTATTCTGATCATTTAAATCTTTCCTATATCCTGACCAATATTCAATAAATAATTCTCCAAGCTCTAGAGACCGCCAGTGATTTAAACTGAATTTACTTCGTTTTATTGAATCCTGCCTTTTGTGAACCCAGAACACACTTTGTAAGCCATTTCTGGCATTCGAGTTATTAAATGTTATGTGTAAACAGTCACATAATAAAATAATGCAATATATCTGTCTGCCACGTCCTTGGGTGAAAGTTTATCTAGAATACCTTGTCAATAATGAGAATGTTCTCTCTCTCTCTCTCTCTCTCTCTCTCTCTCTCTCTCTCTGTTTTCCTTATGCTTCTTCAAGATCCATCTTTCCTTTAACATTTATGCAGCTGAACTGCCCAGGTTTGCTGTGGATTCATTGGTTTGTACATTCTTTTTGCCTTTTATTTTGCTTCTTTATTAACACCATCCCTATGGTCAAAACTAACAATTCATAGGCTGAATTGCTATTTACTTATATCTACCTCGTGCTCCCTTCCCATCTGTTTTAGTAAACTGGATTAAGAGGATTTTTCCTGGAGTCCCGTTCAAATAAAATCTTTCAGATAAATTTAAATCCATTATATTTTCTGATAGAGATATGTCAATAAAACGAAAAGGAGAAAGCAGAATTCTCAAGATGCATACTTTAACTAAATAACTTCTGATTTAACTGAAATATTTTTGTATTATTTAAGTGTGGGCAGTAACAATCTTATTTTTTTAACAGAAGCATATTGATTATAGGTAAAAGAGAAGAGCCATCACTGTTTATTTGCAAAAAATACTAATATTTTCTTGAATAAATATTGAATGTAAAAGCTAGCCCAGTCTGCTAAATAAGGAAAGGGGTTAAAATCAATGTGGCTTCTGAATCAATTAATTAGGGATTAGAAACAGTAATGCCATTGATTTATAAAGCAATCTTCTACTTTTGGTGACTGTTCTAACTCTGTTGCATTAACTAAATTAAATCTGAATATTTAATGAGGCAGGCAGAGATTCTTTTTTCTATTTTTCAAGCACTGTCTTTGTTTTACAAGAACGTACATTTCTAATGAAGGATGAAACCACCTATAAATGTGATTTTAATTCATTTCTTTAAAATGCATAAATTACACTATCCATGAAAATGAAATTAGTTAGATGAAATATCCTTATTAAAAAAGATGGGGACAATTAAAATCCTCATTTCTGGACTGCAAATAAAATGCAGCCTACCCTAGGGAGGAAAATAGTTGTGACTAAATTATATTGAAATAAACCAAGCTTAAGTTAATCATTAGCCTTTTCTTTCAAAAGATTCAACATAACACAATTTCTACCTCAGTAAGTTTTACTTCCAAATAAATGCACTTAGGATCAGAAAGTATTTTAGGACTAGCTTTTGCTAAAGTGCACCTTTACACTAAAAGCATTTCCTCCAATATTTCCCACACAAATTCAATAGAGTTGCTAAGATGTATAGTAGTTATTCCATCCTGTATTGCAGAAGTTTTTAATAATGTGCAGGATATAATGAAAATGTTACCCTTTGGCTTTAAGTTAGGAATTCCCAAATTAAAATGTAATTTCATGACCAAGTTATTATTGTTCAGCGCTGTTATAACTTAACTACCCACCACCTGAAAATATTTTATATTTGTTTTCTTTTTTAAATCTGTCATCCCAAACTTAAATATCCTATAAGCAAAACTTTTCAGCTGAAAAGGCTGACAGTATTTCAGTTAGTTATCATTTGGCTTTCTAGGTGCTTTATGCTTGATTCCCAAACAGAAATTCTGTTTCTACATTTTTTTTTAACATGGAGATGTTGTGATGGAAAAGGAAAAAGTTTAACCTATTCAGTAGTCTATCAGAAGTATATTAATAGTGACTTATGAGTATGAACTTATATGCAGATAACATTAATTTTTTTATCTACCTAAACATTAAAGATATAACAATTACACAAGTCCATTTAAATATGATTTTTTAATTGCCAAGGGTGGCAAGATTCAGAGACATCTGATCTAAAGACAAGACTCTATTTGAACCAATGTATTCTATTAATAAAATAACCTATTTGGATCTTAGAGTAAGACAGGAAAAGAGTCAAAATGCGTGTCATTCCTCCCTCCCACCCCCACCCCCAATGGGATGGGATAAAACTGGCAGATGGCATGCATTAACCCTACAAAATATTGTCCAAAAGAGTGTCACTGAAATAATGTTTAAAATTATTTAAGGCAGAGATAGCAAGAATTAGGAAAGAGGATCCACTCCAGATAATTCAATAAAGTTCCCAGTGTTGCATATACTCCAATTTAAAAATAATGGAAAAAATTACAGTAGGTTTTTTTTTTATTATTTCTCACTTGGCTCTCCATGGTATTGAAGAATGCCTAAGGACTTGCTGAAGGGCAAGTACAGCTTTGTTGCCTCAAATAATGGTTTAATGCCTCACTTATTGGCTTTGGTTGGATGTAAAGCTAAGTAAAATACATTTACAAAGCTTGGGAACTGAGTTAGGATTGCGGCTTGAGCTCAGTGTTGTATACTTACAAGTAAAAAACCCCCAAAAAGGATGCCATCATACAATACAATGCCATGGAGAAAGTGACATTCATAGACACACTCTTCATAGTTTCAGAAACAATTAACTGTTTGAGCTAGACCCTGTAATCAGGCTGGCTTCCACATCAGAACATTTAAACCTGCCCCTTCTATGACAAGAGTGGTGATGACAATATTGGACCAAGACTAGGATTACCTCATGGTGAAAGATGGCTGAAAGTCCATCGTAACCTTAGAAATTCAGTGAGTGATTTTGGACTGGTCTCTCTCATGTGGGCCACCCTACCTTACAGAGTTGCTGTTATAGATAGAAAATATTTTTTTAAAAAAAATGTACATGTCATCTTATGCTCCAGAACAAAGTCGGGTCATAAATCTAATGAATTGACCAGATACTAACTAGTCTGGTCGGCCTTGGTCCCATTTTCAGGGCTGAATTTCTAGCTGTGTTTGCAGGACAAGCATAAAAGTGTAACTTGCTATCGGCACAAAGAAAGTCAAGATAATGCTTGTGTTTGGTCTTTTTAAGAAACTAAGAAGAAAGTAAATGAAGCCCCAAGCAATATTGCTACCTTAACAAAATTCTGATAGGTAGATAATTTTACTCAGGGGCCAGCTATTTAGGACATCACAGAGAGCAATTGTACCATATGAAATTAAACATGTGAGTTCACTTTCTACACATTCTTTGTAACAATCTGCGAAAAACAGGAAAATGGTGTATAAAGTATTTTGCAAGTATCAAAAAAATGCTTCAAAGGATACTTAAAAACAGCATTTTTAACTTTGGGAAGGGAAGGGTGTAATAATAGAAAAAAAGTAAAGCTGAAAAACTGTAAGTAGAGTGGAACTATATTATGTCAGACCAATTTAAATTTAAGAATGATAAGGTTAACTGGTTGTGAATGGGGGGAGAATTAGAGAATCACAACAGAAGCAGTAAACCAGATCACAAAGAACAGCAGAATAAATCTGACTCTGGCTTCTCCCTGCTCAAGCAAACCTGCCTAACAAATCAGAACAGTAAGAGACAAAAATATTTGACAAAGATGGAAAGGCAGAATTTATGGAAATAATAAGACTTACTGGCCACAAACTTTGTTCAATATCAGGCATCCCATCACACAACTCAGAATCTCCATTAACTTTGTTCATATGGGGAAGGGAAATGGCAATGATATTTGAAGCTCTATAAACCCTAAAAGTCTATTGAATCATTTTCAATTCTAGTTCCTGATTTGATTCAGCACCTCTAACATTTGATTTCAACATCCATTGAAAGCAGAGTTTGGACTGAATCTTCTCCAGACCAAATGATCCTTTTGAAGATTCACAAAGTCCTATTAGAATCACATCGTAGAGGCTAGTTTTTTTGACTTTCACAGAGCTGTTTTTCAAATATATTATAAAAATTAAGGTGGCGGCACAAAAACTGCTAAAATAGGAGCCACATCTCTAGGACTTATTAAGACTATAATTTAAACTGTTTTTGCAAAATCATTTTTTTCTATATTAGGAGGGAGTGTGACTTTCAGTAAGACACAAAGTCATTAGAACAAATTAATGCCCGTTTACTTTTATATTTGCAGAGAAAAGTACCCATTACCCCTATGTTACTCTGTTACTATCTGTTCTGCTGCCACGTGACATACTTTGCAATGGGATCAGCTTATTCTCTCTAAAGTAGGAAAAGAAACCAACTGTTGTAAGTTATCCCCACATTAGCTGAGGCAGCTTCTATCAAGTCAAACCGCTTCCTCATTTTCAATCTCCAGATACTGTTGGGAATGATCTCTCTCTCTTAGATATTCTGGAAAGATCTCTGTCATATAGCAAAGGAGATAATTTGGAATACAACAGACCAAGAGCTTGACTTGCTATATCACATCTGTTTCTGTTTCCTCAATCTTTTAATTCCTTTTAATGTTGTGCAGGACAAAGGCGTCTCTAAACCACGAAAGGTCACTCGCTCCAGCTTCCCTTTTTGCTGGCCTCAGTAAAAAATAATTTTAAAAAACCACGAGCTTAAGTTTTCCCTCAACGAATATTACACTGGAAAAGGGAGAAAAACGTGGCTCGGGGCGCTCTGCGGAGCCACCACTTTGGAGTCTCCCTCCCGCCACAGCCAATTTGCCAGGCACAAGGAATAGCAAGGGCGAGCGCGAGGCTCCCGGCCACGCTCGCTCACTCGCGCCTCTCCCCTCTTTCCCTCCCTCCTCGCCCAGAGCCCCTCCCTTCTCCGGCGGGAAGCAGAGCCGCCCGCCCGCCGGCCGCCGATTGGAAGTTCCTCGCCCAAGCTGCCGCGCGTCCTATTGGAGTCGGCTTTCCACATTTCATGCGGGCTTCAAAAATGGTCCTGGGCAGCCGGGGAGCGAAGAGAGGACGGGAAGCTCTGGCTGGCCGTGAGCAGTAGCGCGGCGGAGACAGCTATCCCTCCTAGCGGAGCCCCTCACACAGCCTGTCCTTTCGGAGCGGAGAGTCAACGACTTTTGGTCTGACTTCGGCGCTGCTTGGAATAGAGCCGTTTTTCTAACGGGGCCGCCTCCGTCCAGGGGTAAAGCGCGCCTCCTCGGGGCTAAGTCTGCTTATTCAGCGCGGCTGCCTTTCCCTGCCGGAGATGCTGCGAGCAGACGGGATGTCCGAAGCAACAACCCTCGGGGCAGCCCGAGGACGCGCTCGGTGCTGAAGGAGGGGCCGGACGGAGCTTCGGCTGCTCTTTTGAGGCGTTCGCCTCACCTGTCCAAAAGCCCCTTTTCCTCCCCATGTGGGATTCTTTCTCCGGGAGTCTTTCGACGTGAGCGCCGGAACGCGAGGCGAGAAGCACACCTGCCCCATGGAGTTCCCGAATGGGGCGGCCGTCCCGTAGCTGGAGCAGAGCGTGAACCCCGAGCAAGTCTGGCTCTCCCCCTCCCACATTTTTATTAGACACCCTGCTCCCCCCCCCACTCCCCTTCCTTCGGCAGAATGGTCTCTGTCCCGAGGTCGATCGGGTCTATCGCTCCCATATCAAGGCTGCTGCCATTCCTCGCCATCCTTTCGACGAGACTGTCAGGAGGAGATAACCGTCGGGGCAATCGGAAAGTGCACTAATCCATCGTCCTCTGTCAGAGTTTGCATCCCCTACACTTCCCCCACCCCCCACAATTTTTTTTCCTTTTAAAGAAGAAGATCGGGAGCCGTTTCTCAGAGACAGGTATTTCTGCTGCTCTTCCGCACCCTCTTCCCCCTCCCTACGTCTCCTCCGCCTCCTCCCCCAAAGGACACTAGACGAGAACTTTTACAGGGTTACTATGCAATTGCGACTGGTTTCTTGGTTCTTTATCACTTGGAACTTAATGGAATACGTTGGCGGCCAGGAGCACCCTTCCAGAGTCCGACGACAGGGAAGAAGTAAGTGCGCCTTTCTCCAAGCGCCTCTCTCGAAGCGGGGCTAAACGCCTCGCTATCCTAGCGGACGCGGTGGTCCTAAAGGAAGGTTTAGGCTTCTATATGAAGGGGCCTGTTAAGGATAGTTATTTAAGCTCAGCTGCAGAGAAGGATCACCGTCAGCGTCTCTGCCGCGCACAGCGATCCTCTAAATGCACTGAAGCAAGTGTAGCGGCGGGGTTTGATGTGGAGGAAGTGTAGGATACAGAGACGGGTTTTCCGGAGACTTGTCTCCAAGTAAGAACGTTTATGATTGTTCTGCGTGAGTCTTGTTAAATTAATGGAAGAAAGCTTACGAACCGCAGTCATTTGAAAAATGAAATTCGCTGTATGGTCTGCGAAGAAAAAGCTTTCCTCTGCTTTTCTTTGTTCGTCAAAAGCTTAGAAACGATCCAGACGAAATTTGATTAACGAAACCTTAACCTCTTCCTTATGTATTAGCCTACCCCTTTCCTCTAGCTGGTGTGTCATTCAGGATCCGGAAAGCCTAACTGTGCCCCGCAACCAATTATAGGATGTGTGGCTGATTAACTTCTCCTGCTCCCGATGCAATGGAGCTCTGGTGAGGCCCAGCTGGGTTCCAGCAAGTGCCTGCTGATGCTTTTGCAGAGCTATTGAAATGAGGTCTGTGTTCCTTCGAAACTCCTAGTGGTGCACTGATGTTCCTTCGGTGAACCGGTTACATGCTGTAGCCAGTAAAAAGAAAAAGAGAGAGAAAGACAGATAGACCCACGAGATGTATTGGAGAGAGTGGGTAGGCTTTTCTTGAACTGCAATATTGCAATGTCAAAATAAATGCCCTAAGAGAATATTCTTGTCAAAAATTTACTTTGAGACTGGAGGAAGGCAAGGAGCATCCAACCTATCTCACATCTCTAAGGAGGGAGGATAACGTCAATCTAAAGGTCACAAAAAGATCCCAAATTAATATTGTACAACAAACAAGCCCAAAAGCCACAGCACACGTAGCTGAGTACTGCTGAGCAATGCAACTTCAGCATTTTCACTGAAAAATGAGTTCAACTTTGTCACATGGAAGTATTTATAGATTTGTGCCTGTCACTGTTTTCAATAGTATATTTTCATTTATGCATCATAAATCTCGCTGGCTTAATTTTGGCTGGATCATGTTTTGCTCTTACTCAGAAATATGCAGAGGCCTAGGAACTTTGTAGTGACAATGATGGATGCTATTTTTCCAAAGATAGCTACATCTAACTTTGGTGTTTCAGTCTAGGATATCAGTTGATGATCTTGTCTCAATGGCTTCATTTTCAACGCAGTGGCTGAGGCAGTCTCAAAGCTAAATAAAATATATGACTTAAATATGTGCCTTAGTTAGATTGTAGTGTTAAGTCAGGTGGAAAAAGGGGATTAAAAAAAAAAGTACAGTAAATTCAAAAGAGTGGGAGTCAGTTTGTTCTTGCTTTTCATTTCTGATATTATCTTGAGAGATGCTCTTTCTCTTATCATACCCATTATGTGTATTCCAACCAGTTTGAATTAAAAGTTATGCACCAGAGGGTACCAGGTTGAAGGAGGCAGAATTACCTTTTCCTATCTCTCTTGTGAACAACAGCAACACT